AAATGCAAAAAGCCCATGAATCCCTACTAATGAATCCTCTATAATCCTTCAATGTAGTTGCTCTAAGAGGCCAGAAAGGCAGAAAGCCAAATTAAAGCTGGCTCATACCAAAATATATTCTTATCAACAAAATATTATTTTTCTCAGATGACTGAAATTTTGAATCCAAAAATCCGTACATCACTCTATTGCAAAGCCCAAACACTGTCAAATTAGCTCTTTGTAGAGGAACCATTTTTTATAATGATAATCATCCAATTAACATATAACTCTTTAGACTCGATCGTATGATCCAAAAGTTTATTCACTAAACCACGTCTTTTTTTTGGTCGGCCATACTAACAATTTGTAAAACGATATTTATCTGGAAAAAGCAAAGGAAAACATATTCTAATTTTTGTTCAAAAAAAAAACATATTCTAATTGATCTAATAAGACACGGTTAAGTGTAAGCAATGTCGGGGGGTATATAGCACCAAAAGAAAAGGCGAGTCAGAGCCGTGTGGCTAACTGATAGTGGGTTTTCAAGCTTACTATCAACCCACGTGTCTGCACTCGTGTGTTAGGCTTTGATGTTGCCCTGGATTTTCCTCTTCTCGTACAAAAATAAATAATAATTGGTCAATGATCATGATATATACTCTCGTATTAAGTAACCATGTTTCATAGTTTATATTTCTCCATTGGTCCCAAAAATTGTTGATGAGGCGGACGTATATACATAACACTGGCTTTGAATGACATGCAGATCAAAATGCAGAAAAAAACACAGATCATTTAATATATTTAATATATTTTTTTGATAATCACACAGATTATCTTATACTCCCTCTGTTTCAATATAAGTGTCACTCTACAGCTATGCACACGGATTAAGGAAACAATTAATTTTCCATATTTCCTATATAAAAACACAATTACCCACACACCTAGCCATATTTTAACCAATAGAAAAACAAATTACATAATAAAATTAATAAATTTTGCATTGAAAACCGAAAACGACACTTATTTTGTAACACAAAAAGTTCTCTACAACGACACTTAATATAAAACGGAGGGAGTATTTATTTACAATGTTGATCAAGGGTTTTAAATGACATGCAGATTATTTAAATGTGATCATTTAGTATACAATCAAATCTGCATGCAGATTATTATTACAAATGAAATTATTAATCTGCAAAAATCAAGAAAAAATGCTGGAATTTATATAGAAGGCCAATGAACGACGAGGCTGAACACGATCGTTGGTGGTTTTGTAATGTTTTTTTTTTTTGTGATGTATTGTTGTAGGGAGCGATAATGGGACCGTTTATAACGACGGTGGTGATTGTATTGAAGGATCTTTACGCAGAGTTTGTGTTGAATGATCCGAAGAAGATTGATTAGCTGGTATTGGTTTCTTTTAATAGGGAACTTCGAGTGCTTCTGCCATGGCTGCTTTGTATTTAGGAGAAGAATCATGTAGATTAGTAGAGAAAAAGAGAGAGGAGTCTATCTTGTTGATTGTTTGAGTCTGTTGCTTTGAAATGTATTTTATAATGTAAAGTATTAAAACAATTATAATGTATAGTAGTAGTATGTTGGTGTCTCAGTTGTAATCTGTATCTGATTCTTTGGGGAAATCGCTTAAAAGTTTTATGGTAAATACTAGTACTTGTTATATCTTGAAATCGAGTATCTTTGTTTCGTTATTTATTTGGTTTTGTTTAATATCTTTTTCCTAATCATTATGTAATACTGATTAAGAATAGGGATAATTTGCAGAATACCTTATTTTAAGACTTGAAATTTGACAAATACATTGTATTGAAACAAATTTGAAATCTACACTTGTACATATGTGATAAGACTATTTTAACCCATATTTTAATATACAAAAATGAAATCTGATATATAGTATTCTAATTAATTTATTTGAGATAAAAGTAATAATTATTAAAAAATTTAAATTTATATTTCATAACTTCAAAGTTTATTTCAAGAAAAAACGGTTAAAATAAATATGCATATAAGATAACAAAAATTTGGCATCTATCTACGTACCTAAAATTTTAATCCATTCTAGACAATGTCTTAGAGTGCATTCATCTGCTAGAAATAAATATTAGCTCTGTTCGTTTGGTTGCCGCAAATTTCTGCGGCTGCGGCTGAGTTTGCGGCTGCGGCTCTGTCTGTTCATTTGGTTGTTGTTCGTTTCGAGCCGGAGACGCAGCCACAGATTTTTGTTCGTTTCATAGACGCAAGACATTGACGTAGACGCTGGTCGCAGGAAGATGATTTATGTTGTTCGTTTGACAGACGCTGTGATTATTTTCATTTAATTCATGTTTTCATTTTAAAATTTTATAAAATTATATTTTAAATAAATAAAATATAATTTAAATATATTTACATCCATAAAATTTTATTGTTGATTGATACTAAAATTTTAGTCAAATATAAAAAGATAACATTTTGTGACATTTAGAACATTGCTCAATTATGTATGAGGTGAAGATTAATCATAGAATATTATTTTCATTGGGTTTTAGTATGCTATTATTATTCCACTTTTAATCCGAAATATATACTCAATAAATAAGGAAAAAATAAAAATAAGAAACAAAAATTATTAAACCATTATTAATCTTTTAACATACATTATTCAACCGTACATGGCACTTTTTTGTAAGCTGTGCAAGAGGAAAAAAAACAAATTTATTTTCTGCTAATTCAAAAATGTAGGTATCATTTTTTTCATAACTGTGATAATCAATCTGACATAGCAAATGTCATTCTCTTTGCAGGATGAATCTTGTCTTCGTATTAATCTCTATCTCTCTTCTTATCGATTCCTTCGGATCATAAAATCTGAAAATAGCAGAAAGATCACCACAGTAATAAACTAAAGTAGATGTTCAGAGTTGAGACACAGAGTAGTGCTTGCTGTAATTCTAAGTGTGTAAACCCATCTTATTGCAGAATCTTTAAAGCAGAAGAAAAGTGTGTAATGCGTGCTGCAAGCACAATGCTTCCTAAGGATTTAAAACTAACAACACAAAGTAACTGTAGCCATGATATCTGAGACACGACTTGCAAGGTCACATATTGATAGTGTTACTGAGTAGTACATAAAAGACTTAAGCTTTTGAATGCAACTAAGAAACAAGATGAACTCTCTAAGACTAAAAGATCTGCAGAGAATCGAACCAATAGTGGAATTAAGCTCTTTCCTAAAAACTTAATCAAATAGTAGTCGACTGTAATCTGACCCCAAACACAATCTCATTCAATTCGAAAAGATGCAATGCAACACTAATATCATGTCTAGATTCTAACAATTTATCAAGTATCACAAGAACAGAGAGTTTAGAACAGAGACCATCACTATCAGTCAGAACCGGCTTTAGGGGTGTGCTGGCAGTGCTTAAGCACAGGGCCCAATAATTTTGGTCTTAAATTTCCTTAAGATTCAGGGTCCAGTTTTTTTGAAAAATATCATTATCAACATACATAACTGATGAAAATATGCAGAGTTACATATGTAGCATTGGGAAAGAAGAAGAAATCAGGGCCCATAAAGTTCAGTCAATAACTTTTAACACGCCAATGTTTTAACTTTTAATTGTTTCAGTGACTAAACCCTTATTTCAAACAATTTATAAAGATTAATTTTAATATATGGCATGGGGTCCACAAAAGTCTTGAGCCGGGCCTGCTATCAGTATCACAAGACCAAACAGAAACAGTGACCTCAAAGAGAAAGAAACAAAGAGCTCAGAGATGGGTTTGCGTTTGAGATGGGAGAGAGCTCGAGATGCGTCGACATCAAGAGAGAGAGCTTGGAGATGGGTCGTAGATCGAGAGAGAGCTTTAGATGGGTTTGTGTGGGAAGAGATCGAGAGAGAGCTCGGAGATGGAGAAGAAGAGATAGTTCGAAATGCGTCGTCAATGGAGGATAAGAAAGAGATCGAGTTGCGTCAATGGAGGAGAAGAGAAGCGGCTGCGTCTTGAGTGGACGGAGATTTCTTGAGTCAGCCACCGATTTTTTTCTGTGTTCCAAATTTACGGACGCGGGACGCAGCGTCTAGCCGCATCGTCCAGACGTGAGTGCTGCATCAATCAAACGAACACAAATCTTTACCGCAGCCGCAGCCGCAGACGCTGCGGCAACCAAACGAACAACACTATTGGCAGCACGGCTGAGGGAGGCTCATTACTTTCAACTATTGAACCATTAATTCATCAATTTTTTGGAGTTTCATCATGCTCTTGAGCAAAGCTAATGGCTCTTTTATCTCCGTTCTCAAAGATTGGTTTCTCTTATTCAATGTTTTGGTTAACCCTTGTGATATATATGTTTGTGTCTTGTTCACTTTTGATAAGTCTAGGTTGCCACACATCGAAACTTATATAATATCTGCAACTCGACCATAAAAAAATTTTACTTGGTAACAAGATAGATAAACATATCCACAGCCATATAGATGCAAGGCGAAATGAACACCTAACTTCTCTAAATTAGAGAAGAGATAGATATATTTGTATCAAATTTCAGTTTAAAGGGTACACATGAATATACATATAAGCAATTTGTGTATAATTAAATATCATCCATATCTAAAACTGTTTTTATTTGTTTATTGTAATTTAAATAATAATTTTGATATTAATATTGAAATTAGTGTAAATTGTTAATTAGGTTAGTTTTAGTCATTTTACTTATAAATAAGTGTATTTTGAATTAGGTATTTTTCCAAATTTACTCTTACGAATAATGTTTTTTTTGTTTCAAAAGAAACTATGGGCTAATGTAAAAGTATCCGCAGAAATAGAGGATAGTTGCGAAATATGTAGAGAGATAATCAGTGGTAAACAGAAAATTATAACTGCTACTAATAACTATAACTGAAAAAGCAACTCTATTAACATCAGTTGCTCGCTCTTACGCTTTCTTCTTCCTTTTCTTTGCTTCATCCCCAAGAAACAACCACTTCTTCTTTTCTCGATCGATTATGGCTGCTGATGATAATTTACAGATAAGAAACGAACTGATGGGAGCAGGAGACGAGGTCATACTTTTACGTTATCTGAAGCCAATGATCAATGACGGAGCATCCTGGCCTCAACTCTTCAAGGAAGACGCAGACGTGTTCAGCAAGAATCCAAACACAGAATTCGATTCTGAGTACACCATCTTCGTGATCGTTAATCCACGAACAGAGACGTGTGGTAAAACCGACGGATGTGACTATGGTTGCTGGAGGATCATGGCTCGTGATAAACTGATCAAGAACGAGGAGACAGGGAAGGTTCTAGGGTTCAAGAAGATTCTCAAGTTCTGCGTAAAGAAGACGACGAGAGCCAGAGAGTACAAGAGAAGCTGGGTTATGGAAGAGTACAGACTTCCGAATAAATGGAACCCTACCCAAGATTACGTGATCTGCAAGATTCGGCTTTTGTTCCAAACCGAATTAGGTTTCTTGCTATCCAAGCATCTCTCGTATTCATCTGGTCCGCTCCCTGCAACACCATCGTTGCCATCTTATGGATACCGTATACCTAATGGAGAAGAGGTGGGTCCATATTATCTGCAGAAATTGATGATCGGTAGCGAAAACGAATGGCCTAGCTACGTTACCAACGACGTGTACTGCATGCATCCAACGTCGCTTGTGGATCCTCAACAAGATAAGTTGTTTGCACAATTGGGTCTCTGCATCTTTGCTAATCGGACAGAGGCTTCTGGTTATACCAATGGTTGTGAGAGTGGTTGCTGGAGGATCATGGAGGGTGATAAGCCCATCTCTTCTATCGTGGTCAGGGGTGAGACTTTTGGTTACAGGAGGGTTTTCAAGTTTCGCGAAGAGGGTGATAAAGCCACATACTCCTATACTGATCCCAACGGAGAAGCTGTGTTCCTGACTTGGATTATGGAAGAGTATAGGCTTGCCCAAGAGGTGATGAAGGATAAAGTGTTGTGCGTTATCAAGCTTCTTCCGAGGTAAATAGCCATTCTTAATTCTCTAGCTACTCAATTTGCTTTTGACACTTGTGGTTGCAATATTTTTTACACACAATTGAGTACAATATTAGCAGCATGCATCGTCATATTGTTTCTCAAAGTATAAAGCCATTTGAAACTAGAGGAGAGGGCAATGTATCTCCAAATCCTGCGAAAAAACAATATGCCACATCATGTGTACTAACTAATGTAGGGATAGTATATTTTTGCGTAATGTAGTTGCTTGCTTCCCAATATTTCAGTGATCAGGTAGAGGAGAGACAAGATATTGAGGACACACTTGGACATCGAGCTTTCTCTAACACATTGACCTCCCTTGGTTCATGGCTCTTAGACTATATTCGTTCTTGTTTCAACCTTTGATCTTGTAATCCGATAATCAACAATATAATCTAAATTTTTTTTTCAACTCGAACCTTTTTACATCTTTGTTGTTCTAAGGTTTTGTGTTCTAGTTCTTTCTATACTAATTTACAAATACAAACACTCTCAGAAATAATACTTTACTCACTTCTATGTTTTGGGACAACTTCTGTTATTATTTTTGGCAGGCTGTTCCTTTGTCGTTGATTAATTGAGATTTGTTGCTCTGGAATGTAATCTATAGTGTGTAAGGAGATCTACTAGTATTGATTTGTGTTCATCATAAACATATAGTGTAGGCAAAATCTTTGTGTGTATACTATATATTCATTTGAGAAATAAATTTACTTAGCTGTCATGTTCTCCATAATTTTAGATAGTTTTATTTGTTTGTCGTAGTTTTATATTTCTTACTAATGATTATCATTACTCTTAATTAATAATTAGATTTATTAATACATAAATAACTATAAATCAAAATGAATTAATATAAAATGAACCTTTTTAAAAAATATAATTCATTGATTAGATGTTTATCATTATCTAAAAAATAGTTTATTTACTAGCGACAAACTAAAAATTAATAAATATATAATTGGCCATTAATTAAAATATTTTCCTTGATTTGATAATTATCATTATCTAAAATAATTTATATTATGTTATCTGTTAATATATAATTAACCATAAATTGAACAAAAAATTTCACTGATTTGATAATCATCCTTGTATTAAAACAGTTTATGTTGTGTTATTAAGAAAAATATTCTACAATAGATTTTTTTAATGTTTTAAATTTACAAAAGATAAATATCTACATATATTGTATATAATATTAATGCATATATTAAGGTTTTCAAATTTATTTTATGCAATAAAAGATAATTTTATTATATAGACAAATTTGGTCATATGTAAAAAAACTTAATATTTAATTTATTACTAAATATTTCAAAAACATTAGTATTTTTAGTTGGAAAGTTGTCTCGAATGACTCAAATTAATTGAGAAAATAGTAGAATAGACCATAAAAGTCTTAAATTACTAAAAAAAATTTGGGCCGAAAATACCCGTGTTTCATGTTATGACCATAATTTCATATTACCAAATTGCCATTGTTATTTTTTTTAAAATCGCCGATGGTAGATTTATTCAACGAAAAACAAATCTATCGGGATATAAGTCTGTCAAACAAAACTATTGTTAAATTTATATCTCTCATTTATTTGGTGGCAGATTTTTCGGTCTCGGCAGATCTTTTAAAGACGGAAGATTTATATGTCCGATTTAAGGTTGTCGACAGATTTATCTTTTAAGTCTGTCGAATGAAGTAACCGATTTTGTTGAGATCGTCAGTTTTTTCGGAGTAGTTAGAGTTTTGAGATAGATATGTTAATGGGTAGTAGACTTATATATATTTATGACTGATTTGATTAACCGATTTAAATTTGCAATAGATTTTTATATTCATTTGGTGGCAGATTTTAGTAATTGTAGTCTTTGATGACACACTTATTGAAAAACAATTAATTACTAGCGTGGGACAAGCCAATTTTTTGTCCACAATTCACATATATTTCGAGTTAATTAAGTGGATTCCGGTTTAGATTAATTGAATTGGTTTTAATTAATTTTGAAGTTTGGTTAAGATTTCTTTTCGGTTTAACTTAATTTAATCCAATTTTGAACCTAGAAATTTAGGTTAAGAGTCATTAAGGCCACGTTTTCCAATTTCGGTTTTAACTTCTTTGTCGTCTTCTTCCTCCCCTCTCTTTAAACAACACATTCTCCTCTCTTTCATGGTGATTTACATATGCGTCTTCCATATCGAGTGAAGATTAATGGAACACGTAATTCTTGTATGTGGGAAGTGGAAAGCTGAGAAAACTAAGTGGCTATTTGAAGTGGATAATGACAAGGTAGGATACTGGTTGATGCGAATGAGAGCACTTGATTTGAAGATTTTATGGTAATTATACGTGAGGAGTATGGAATTGATGTAGCAGAAAAAAACTTGGAACTGAGATACTTCTTGCCGAAGCAGAATCTACAAAAACAATACACACCACCTGTGAAAATTGGAACTGACATGCAGTTTCATACATTTTTGGGTCTTTGCAAAGCTGAGAACATTCGACTATGTGTTGAGTTTAAAGAGATCAAAATTGCTGAGGAAGGGCCTGGCGAATATCAGAAGCAACCCTTACAAGGAGAGGGCCGTTGGTTGAAGAAGAAGAAGATACAGACGAAGAGGGTGATCGATTCGATTATTGTGATGATTCTGATGGAGCAACGTCTGATGATGAAAACTTTACTGCATATGGGACTCCACCAGACTATGTAGAAGAGTTCCATGGATCTTCTACAAATCTGATTTATGCAAGAGACCCAAAGACACAAGAAAGCGAGTCTTCACTTAGTATATTAGAGTTGCGCTCACTCAAATTTGACGTGGGGCAGGTTTTTTATTCGAAAGATGCCTTGGAGACACGTTTGAAGATATGGTCAGTTGTCCACCGTTTCGATTTTGATGTGGATAAATCTACAAAGAAGCTGTATCGTGTAAAATGTTGGATAAGGGGTTGTTCGTGGAAGCTTAGAGCTTCACCAGTAGATGAATTTTCAAAGTTTACAATACGAGTGTATGTAGATGAACATACATGCTCCGTAACAGAACGCTCTTCTCGCTCCCGCCAAGCTACTCCTAAGATTCTTGGACTTTTATACAAAGACTATGTTGGTGGGGTTGATCCATCTATTTTGCCCAGTCATGTTGCTGCTGCTATGAATCTGAGCTTTGGAACCCAGGTGCACAACATTTGCGCTTCAATATACTTTCTTTTCTAACCTCTACTTCCTTTTAATCCGGTCACAGTGTTTTGGATATTAGATGTATTACTGGAAAGCTCGCCGTACACTTCTAGCTGCTAAAGATCCCGTACTAGGTTCTTCAGAGAGTGGCTACCAGGAATTACCTACTTACATGCACTTGATAAGGATGTCAAATCCAGGAACTTTTACTTAACTAGAAGTTGATACAAACAATAGATTCAAGTAATTATTCCTTGCATTCAACGCTAGCATTACCAGCTTTCCATTTATGCGGAAGGTTGTGGTGGTTGATGGAACATTTTTGCAAGGGAAATACAAAGGAACACTTCTGATTGCAACATCACAAGATGATAATTTTCAAATTTTTCCAATAGAGTTCGCTATGGTTGACACAGAGAATGATGAATCATGGACATGGTTTTTTCGCCAACTCAGCCTTGTGATACCCGATGATGAAGGATTGGCGTTAATCTGTGATAGACACAACTCAATAGGGAAAGTTATTGCAGTGGTCTATTCGTTGGCAAGCAGGGGAATTTGCACGTACCACTTATATAAAAACATCTTGTTACGGTACAGAGGGCGTGATTTGTTTGGATTGGTCAAAAAAGCCGCCAACTCTTTTAGGTTGACTAACTTTTAAGCAACCTTTGAAATAATCAAAGAGTTAAATCCAGCTTTGCATACATATCTGGAACGTGCTGATGTAACTAAGTGGGCACGAGCTCATTTTAGAGGTGATAGATATAACCTTCTCACAAGTAACATAGCTGAATCCGTGAACCGAGCTTTGTCAGGTGCTAGAAGCTTGCCAATTGTTCACCTTCTAGAGTCAATCTGATTAATGATGACACGCTGGTTTGCAACAAGAAAACATGACGCTGGGTTGATGAAAACAACTCTTACTCGTGGTGTAGAGAAGGTGTTGGAGGTAATATATGTTGAATAAGGTTATGGGTTTGGTTAGACTGTTTGCTAATATACTAAGCTTTACTATTTGCAGGGCCGGATACCAATTGTTAAACAACTAAAGGTTCAGCCAATAGACATTCATCAATCGCAAGTGACAGGAGTCTCGTCTTTACATGTTGTAAATCTGACCGAGAAGATATGTTCTTGCCGTAGATTTGATTTGGAGAAGCTACCATGTGTTCATGCGATAGCTGCTGCGGAAGCTAGAAAGATATCACGAATATCATTGTGTCATGACTACTATCGGAAGCAATACCTTTATAATGCATATTTCACTCATGTTATGCCCAAAGATGATGATGTTTTAGTTCCAGCAGAAGTTTTAAAGAAAATATGTCTAGCACCTGATGTCCGCCAACCACCGGGAAGACCCAAAAAATCAAGACATAAGTCCATTTTAGAAAAAGTTGCGGAAAACATATAGAATCTGTAACCAAGTGGGTCATAATTCTACTACACTTCCTCATAAGTGATAAGTATTCGATTTAGTTTTAGGACGTGGTCATTAGATTTCATTTGGGTTGGTGCTTTTGTTGTTATACTCTTTGGTCTTTCATTACTTTTACACGTTGGTTGGTGCTATATTTGTTGTTAGTTTGATACATCCATCATTCATAGGTTTAAAACTAGTATTTGTTGTTACACTCTTTGGTCTTTCAAAACAACAACAAGATAATATATATCCATCATTCATAGGTTTAATACTAGTTATACATCCGTCTATAACAAAAACCTGCGAGTTATACATCCGTCTAAAACAACCAAATAAAAAAAAAAACCTACGAGACAACCAAATAACAAAAACCTGCAAGTTATACATCTTTCTAAAACAAAAACCACCAAGTTATACATCCATAAGACTAAGAACCAAAACAGAAGACCATTTTACTCGTAGGTCTCAATCAAATCGATTTTCGAAATTGGGAACTAGGGATTTTGAATTGAAAATTAGGGTTTTGAAATTTAACATGCAATCAATCGATCTATGCTAACAAGAGATGAAATGGAGAAATGAGATACCTTAGTAGATTTCTTCCTCTTTGACAATGACAGAGGTGGAGGACGGAGGTGAAATCGATTTCTTCCTCTTCGACGATGACAGAGACGAGGTCGTGGACAACATAAACGAGGTTTTGGTGGTTGAGGATGTCGGAGTAAGAGGTATGGTGGTTGAATTTCGTCACCGGGAAAGAGTGGAGAAGACGAGAGAGAATACAGGAGTCGGAGGTTTAAGATGAAACCCGAAAAAACAAAAGCTACTTCCCTTTTTGGTTCTCTCAATTATTTTTTTTATTATATTTCTATTTCATTTTAAATCATTTTTTCCTGTTTAAGAGAATGGGATAATTGGTAATTTTGTTTATCCCTTGAGTTATTCTAGTAATTACTATCTTATAAGAGTTAGTCTAGTGTTTTCTCAATTAATTTGAGTTATTCTAATTAATTTCTCTTTTTGGTTTATGTTGCGTGATACAAAAATACTTATGTTACGATAAAAAACTGTTATATAAAGAATTTATTGTTTAATTTTTATTAATATTTTAAATGTATAAACATTAATTTATTTTAATTTTCTTTCAATTGATAGTGTATTCACTTTAAAATATTTGTAAAAATATTATGCCCGCACAAAACACATAATATATATGTTTATACAAAAAGATCGATTAGCTGGTATTGATTTCTTTTAATAGGAACCTTTATGTGCTTCTGCCATGGCTGCTTTGTATTGGGAGAAGAATCATGTAGATTAGTAGAGAGAGTCTATATTGTTGATTGTTTGAGATTTGTTGCTTTGGAATGTAAATATGTAATTGATAATTTGTAGTAGTATGATGTTGTCTCTGTTGTATTCTATGAGGTCTGATTCTTTGGGGGAAACCGTGTAAAAGTTTAGTTATTTATTTGATCGTATTTAAATTATTTTTCTAATTTTTTTATGTAAGATTGGTTGCTAATAATATTTATGTAATAGGTTGCTAGTAATATTTATTTGACAAGTCATGTCGCGTCTCCTCTGTGCTGATGCATGCGAAGAGACAAGGGGCCATCTTTTTCTCCGATGCAGATTTAGTGAACAGTTGTGGCGCCTTGTTACCAAACGGCTTGGCTATCGCCCTACTTTGTTCCACACTTGGACTGCGTTGTGTGAGTGGTTGCGTTCCTCAGATCCAACCTGCCCTAATACACTGTGTCGCCTTGTTGCACAAGCAACTGTCTATCAGATATGGTCTGTCTTCTACCCATCATCGGATCTTCAAAGACCTGGACAGAATTATAAGGAACTCCATCCTAGCTAGGAAGGAGATGAAGAAATTCAGGGGACTTATGCAAACTTGGCTGAAGTTCTCTTAATTTTATGTTGATGATCTCGCGTTCACAACCTTGAAGCTCTTTGATGTTTTTTTTTCTCTTTTTGTCATCATTTAGCTTGAACGATTAAACTCTTATTTGTATTGTACAAATTAGCTTCATTCTAATGATAATTAATCACATATTTATCAAAAAAAAAAGAATTTACAAATACAAACACTCTCAGAAATAATACTTTACTCACTTCTATATATGTTTTAGGACAACTTCTGTAATTGTTTTTGGCAGGTTGTTGCTTTGTCGTTTATTAACTGAAGATTTGTCGAGTATTTTAGTTATTTATTTGATTGTATTTAAATAATTTTTCTGATTTTTTATGTAACACTGGTTGCGAATAATGTTTTTTTTTTAAAAAACTATGGGCAAATGTAAAAGTATCCGTGGAAGTAGAGGACAGTTCGGAAAAATAAAGAGATACTCAGTGGTAAACATAAAATTATATATAACTGCTACTAGTAGTAACTAACTGAAAAAGCAACTCTGTTAACATCAGTCGCTCTTCTTCTTCCTTTTCTTTGCTTCATCTCCAAGAAACAAACCACTTCTTCTTCCTTCTTTCGATTAAGTTTCATTATGGTTACCTATGATTATTTAGGGATCAGAGACGAACTGACAGAAGCAGAAGACGAGGTGATACTCTTACATTATCTGAAGCCGATGATCGAAGACGGAGCTTTCTGGCCACGCCAATTCGTCGAAGAAGAAGACGTGTTCAACAAGAATCCAAGCGAAGTATTCGATCCTGAGAACACAGTCTTCGTGATCGTTAATCCACGAACAGAGGCATGTGGTAAAACCGATGGATGTGAGTATGGTAGCTGGAGGATTGTGGCTCGTGATAAACTGGTTAAGAACGAGGAGACAGGGAAGGTTCTAGGGTTCAAGAGGATTCTCAAGTTCTGCGTAAAGAAGACGACGAGAGCTAGAGAGTACAAGAGAAGTTGGGTCATGGAAGAGTATAGACTTCGGAGCCCTAAGCAAGATTACGTGATCTGCAAGATTCGGCTTTTGTTTCAAACCGAAAAAGGTTTCTTGCTATCCAAGCATTTCTCGTATTCATCTGGTCCGCTTCCCGCAACACAATCGTTGCCAGCTTATGGATACAGTTTACCTAATCGAGAACAGGTGGGTGCATATTATCTGCAGAGCTTGATCGGTTACGAAACCGAATGGCCTATGTACGTTACCAACGACGTGTACTGCATGCATCCATCGGCGCTTGTGGATGCTTATCAAGATCAGAGGTTTGCACGAGGATCCGGACTCTGCATCTTCGCTAACCGGACAGAGGCTTCTGGTTATACGGATGGGTGTGATAGCGGTTGCTGGAGAATCATGAAGGGTGATGTACCCATCTCTTCGATCATGGTCATGGTCGGTGAGACTTTCGGTTACAAGAGGGTTTTCAAGTTTTGCGAAGAGGATAAAGATAAATACTCCTATACTGATCCCGACGGAGTAGTTGTGTTGCTGACTTGGATTATGGAAGAGTATAGGCTTGCGGACGAGGTCGTGAAAGATAAAGTGTTGTGCCTTATCAAGCTTCTTCCGAGGTTATGGTAAATAGCCATTTGATCATCATATGATTCATGAGGTCAATAGAAACTGATCATGATTCATGAGTCTCTGTGTTCTTTTTTCTCCTTCTGTATTCTAACTATGATATACTTTCTTAATTCTCTAGCTATTCAGTTTGGTTAAGACACTTGTTGCTTTGTCGTTGATTGTTTGATATTTGTTGCTCTGGAATGTAATCTACAGACTATAGTGTGCAGGGAGATGTGATTACTAGTATTGAATTTTAATTGTCGTAGTATTCTACAAGACTGATTCTTTGGGGAAACCATAAACATGTGTCTCACAAACGCAATATATGTAAAAACATATGATTTGATTTGTGTTCATCATAAACATAGTTTATACAAAAAGTTCAATTGTAAAATTTCTATACTAATTGCCTTGGACCAAAAAATAAATAAAAAATTTCTATACAATTGTTGCTTTGGTGTGTTCATCGTTTATACGAGCAAGGTAAGCAAACTCAGATAGTTTTATCATATGAGATTTTACTATTTACATGTTTAAGAGGACAGAAAGTCAAATGAAACCTGGCTCATACCAGAATATATTCTTATTAACAAAATGGTCTTTTTCATGACTGAAATTTTGAATCCAAAACATCACTCTATTGCAAAGCCCAAACACTGTCAAATTAACTCTTTGTAGGGGAACACCTTTTTGTTATGATAATCAAATTAACATATAACTCTTTAGACTCTTATAGTGATCAGGGCCGTCTAATAGCATGTGTAAGTGGAGCGGTCGAACAGGGCCCCAAATATAAAAATAAAAAAATAAGGAAAAAATAAGGAAAAATTAAGAATTTTTGAGAAGTATATAGATAAAATTATGATATTTTTAAAACAAATTTAGATATATTGCTAAATTAGAACTTATAGTTTTAAGGAAGCATCAAACATAGTTATTAACTTTTTTAAAAAAAATTATTAAATCATAAATATATCATTAATTTTTTTTTGAACAGGGTCTAAAATTTATTTGAGACGGTCCTGATAGTGATCCAAAAGTTTATTCAATAAACCACTTATTTTTTGGTCGGCCATACTAACAATTTGTAAAACGATATTTATTCAAAAAGCAAAGGAAAACATATTCTAATGATCTAATAAAAAAGACACGGTTTAGTGTAAGCGACGTCGGGGAGGGGAGTATATATATAAAAACTCTATATATATCACCAAAAAAAAGGCGAGTCAGAGCCGTGTGGCACTGATAATGGGTTTTCAAGCTTACTATCACCCACGTGTCTGCATTCGTGTGAAGCCATGTGTTAGGCTTTGATGTTGCCCTGGATTTTCTTCTTATAAGAATAAATAATAATTAGTCAATGATCATGATATGTATACTCTCGTGTTAAGTTATCATGTTTCATAAGTTATATTTCTCCATTGGTCCCCGAATTGTCGATGAGGCCGACATATATACAAAACAAGATTTATGGTCGACGCTAAAAAGACGAAGGAACACATGTTTTCAAATTTGAAATATTTAATTAACGTCATGAAACGAAACATTATTAAAGGTATCCCTATTCTACGTGTAGATTAGATTGTACAGTATGCAAGTGTCAATATTCACTAGCAAGTTTTATATTAGTAAATGTAACAGGTAACTAAGATGGATCTGGAAACATAATCTTTCTTTTCGTTGTTTTAATACTACTAGACTAGTTAACAAATAAAATAGCTTTTGTCTTTTAGGTAGAGATGAAATTAGAAATTAGAAATTAAAATTGGATTTCTTATTGTTGTCAGCGTCAACTATAAGTACTTACTATTTTAAGAAATATACCATACAGCATTGAATGTTGACAAAAAAATAAAATACCATACAGCATATTCCCTATGTCCACTCTCGTTAATTTCAAGTTTACTTATGGTACGTGGAGTGGTGTCGATTGTCGAATACATTTCAAGAAATCAAATATAAATGATAGACCCAAATATCCAGAAGACTAATGCGCATTATATACCATTATCGTAGCTAATTATAACATACTCAAAATGTAATTTTGGTCATGAGTACTGAGTAATATGCTTCAAACATATACGCGTAGGCTGTAAATGGTAGGGACAAATTGAAATCAGCAAATAAAAAAATAGATGGAACAACATAAACATGAATGGTATACGTACAAACATGTCAATTTAGTTGTAGCTGAATAGATTTATTCCGTTCATGTTGAATTTTAGAAAAATGTATAGGAATGTTTATTTATGTATTTTACTTGTATTTTTGTGGAATTGATGACCATTTAAGTAAAATGGTAAAAGAATAAGGGAATAAACCGTTTCAAATGATTTTATTCTACAAATTTACAATCCAGTTGCAACCTTATATAGTTCTAGATCAAGACACATTTAAGAAAATGATACACACTTGATGGATCTTTGAATTCGTAGCTGCTATTTGCAACGATATATGAATGAGTCCTACATAAGACCATTTCCAACAGAATCTTTGTGAATAATTTTCAATCTCAATATTCACATTGCAGATAAAATTATTTGAAAGTTTACCAATAAGGAAACATACCAGAAGGTCCAGAACGTGTTTCAAAAAAAAAAAAAAAAAAACAGGACATACAATTACGTGACCAAGGACCTCCGACATCAGCTGAACGTTCTAGAAATTTTATTTCATTTACCGTATATTATTATATTTCTTCGCTACTGTTTATATACGACAAAATAAAAATCAAGTATTGGGGGCAAAGACAACGTGGAAAAGAAAAAAGAGTGGGGTCCAGTACTTGGATGATAGAAACTCTTCTGGTTGAAATTAGTTAGCCAACCATCCCCACTCCTTCCATTTCCTCCGGCCAGTTTATCCGATTTTGTTATCAAAATTAGTATTTTAGTACTCCATCCGTTTCAAATTATATGTCATTTTAGAGTAAGTGTTGTTTTACAATTTCAATGTAAAATTTATTGATTTTAAATATTATCCTATTTTTTCATTGGTTGGAAAGTGATTAGGTATATAAGTAACTGTGTTTTTATTTTGAAAATATGTAAAATTAATTATTTTCTTAATCTGTATGCAAAAACATAAAATGACAATTAAATTGAAACAGAGGGAGTAATATTGTAATCTACCAAAGAATGCGTGTGTATATTAGTTTTAACCAAAAAAAATTGTTTCCATTATCTTGTTATTAATTTTATAACAAGAAAAAAGTGGATTATCGATGCTTAATTACTCTTTTATTTTACTTATTTAGAAACAAGTATATATAGGCTTCTTTTAAGTCTTTTATTCTTAAACCATAATAATACATAATAAAGCATTTAATCCTATATATATAATTAATACGATTAAATGCTAACCTTTATGCTTGCAAGGTAAAGGATGGATGCCCAGAAAATAGTATTTTATGGTTTCTTCCATATTGTTTTTTTTAACACCATCTTTTTTTTTTCATATTGCTATAGTTGGGGAAATGATCAACAACAAAAAGATTTTTCTGTTATAACAAAAAAGATCGTGACATTTTGAATTGATGACTTCATGGAGATGTTCTTCTTATCCATTTCCTTTTCCAAAAAGAAAAAAATATTAAATAAATAAAAAAAGAGAAAAATCAAATAAAATATATCTCGCTTTTCTCTCAAGTTCTAGAGAGAGAGAGAGAGAAACAGAGTAGTACTAGAGAGAAGTGGTCTGCTTTGGCGGTTGGAAGCAGCAACAGCAGTTGCTATCAGAGCATTGCTTCATAAAACAAAATCTCAGGTGTTAGATTAGGCCAACTGTTATCTCTCTCTTATTCTTCTTCTTCTTCTCCCTTTCTTTAATTCTCTTCAAACTCAAGCAAAGAAACAAAACCAAATCATAATATATTAACAATCCTATTTTTGTTGGTTATAGTTTGATTCTTGGTAGCCATCCCTCGCCCAACTTCACCTTCTCTGACATAATCACAACACCTTCCCTTTTCTTTCTTTATTATCATCATCTTCTTCTCTTGTTTCTTCTATCTGTCCCTGTATAATCAGTTAAATCACATATCGTGGAGTTCGTGTACGGAACTGAGTTTGCCGTTTTGGTGGTTGAAGATAAAAGGTATATATGATTATTTTCCTTTTACTGAATTTTCATGTGTTTTTATTATTGTTAGTTCATGCAAATTTCGTGAATTATTTAACCCCCTAATCTTACCGTGTTCTTTCATGATATTTTCGTTTATATACTTTCACGTTTCATGTGTGTGCACACGACTTATATACTTCCAAGTTTCATGTGTGTGCACACAACTTATATACTTTCAGAAATTTGATTCTTTTCTATCCAATTTTTCAGGTCTTAAATCTTGAACTTTGAAAAAAAATTCAATGGATACTGTTCAGCCAGAGTCACCTTCCAATACTATTTCCATCACTATTTCATCCTCTTCTTCGTTATGTCCCACACCACCACGAGGTGATAACAGTAACGTTGCTCCTCCCTCTGTTGTTCAAGAGAGTCTTCCATCTTCCTTCTACTTAAGACTCGCTGTGAGAGTATCTAGAGCTAGATGGTTCATCTTCTTGAGAAGAGTGTTTCACTACCAGAACGGATCAAGATCAGATCTCGGGTCCAACCCTTTCAACTCCAGTACGTGGATGATGTCTGAGCTCATAGCTCTGCTTATTCAGCTTACTGTGATAACACTCACACTTGCTATCTCCAAAGATGAGAAACCTATTTGGCCGGTGAGGTTATGGATCACAGGCTATGATGTGGGATGTCTCCTCAGTCTCATGCTGCTATATGGTCGGTTTCGCCAACTAGACCAAGACCAAGGAAATGGGTTTGTCCATGGGGATATTGAGCAGCAACAGAGAAGCAGAGAAGACAACAGGTAACTTTGTCTTTTTCTTGATTCTTAACCATATATAACCTTTGCAAGAGCCTGAAGTTGTTTTGTAACGTTTTAAGTGTTTGTAAATTTCAGGAGCTCTCGTTTGATGAACAGATGCAGAACGTCGCTAGAGCTGTTCTTTGCGATTTGGTTTGTGATTGGGAATGTTTGGGTGTTTGATTCTAGGTTTGGTTCTTTCAACCATGCTCCAAAGCTTCACGTCCTTTGTGTCTCTCTTCTAGCATGGAACGCTCTCTGCTATTCATTTCCATTTCTTCTCTTCCTGTTCCTCTGTTGCATTGTGCCTCTCGTTAGTAGCCTCCTTGGATACAACATGAACATGGGATCTTCAGACAGAGGAGCATCAGATGACCAGATCTCTAGTCTTCCTAGCTGGAAATACAAACGAATCGATGACAATGCTTCTGATTCTGAAGCTTCGGTTCCTGAAACTGATGATCCAGTAAGTTCTAATACTTTGACTCACACATCAAACTAGACCCATTACCCATAAGGGTTTTTGCTCAGGACAATGAATCATGCTTTGAGTGAAAATATATTCCATATCAAACTAGAACAGAGTCATCATATAGTAAATCATCTTAGGATAATTTTGATATTTGATATTTTGATTTGCAGGAGTGTTGTATATGTTTGGCAAAGTATAAAGACAAGGAGGAAGTAAGGAAGCTTCCATGTTCACATAAGTTTCATCTTAAGTGTGTAGATCAATGGCTTCGTATCATCTCTTGTTGTCCTCTTTGCAAACAAGATCTTCCCAGATGATAAATGGCAAAAACCCTAAATCAGACAAGAAGAGCTCATAAGAGTCGAAGTCTCTCATTTAAGTTCTATATAGTTTTTTTTTTTGGTTTGGTTTCTAGTTTTTGATTTGATTTGAAGCAAGTAGGTTACTTGTGTGAGTGTTAAATTTTTGTACAGAAAGAGCTCACCAGTAACCGTAAAATACATTGTGAGAAGATATAAATTACAATGCCACAACTTTTATAGAATCTTGATATAGACTTAGAGCATCCCAAACACTCTTTATTTTAAAGGAATAATCCCCTAAAAATAAAAGGGATAAAGAGATAGATCCAATCCCGACGCGATCGAGAAAGTTTTTCCACTCTTAGTCGATGACATAATGCTTCTGAAACCAAGCCTTACTGGAGGCCTAGATGGAGTTGCTTGGCTGGGGTCACGGACAGGATGCTATACAACACGGTCAGGATACTTCACGGCAATGGAACAGGAACAAAAATCTCTTAACTTGGCACAAACTCCAGGGAAGACATCGCCTAAAATTAAGCTTTTCTTATGGAAAGCAACCCAAGGAGCACTCCCTATGGGCTCTAACCTGCAACAGAGAGGTCTCCTGCAACATACTAACTGTCTTCGTTGTGGGGAAGTAGAAACAGAGGCTCACCTCTTCCTACACTGTGAATATGCACGGAAAGTTTGGTCTTCGTCTCTTTTTAGAGAACAACTTGATCCTGCAGCTTTCACTGTTTTTTTGGAGGCTTTGAAGTTTGGTAAAGTAGCGACTGGGCTCCCTCCAGTCGATGGGCCTTACTCTCAGCACTCTCTTTGGATATCACTAAAGTCTGGTTCAACACAGACTGTCAGGCACTCCTAACAGCGCTCACCTCGACTGCTCCTCCGGCGGGTCTCTACGGGATCATCCAGGACATCGGCCTTCTATCATCATCCTTTGTTTCAGTATCTTTCAAGTTTGTAGCACGTCGTTTCAATTCTGCAGCAGATAAGCTTGCTAAATCTGCACTTTGTATTGTCACATCTTCCCTCCCATAGTTTATTGGGTTGAGGTCTCTTAATATATGTGATGTTCAAAAAAAAAAAAAAAGATAGATCCACTTAGAACCATGATTTTTAAAAGTTTTCTCTCAAAACTTTATATATTACATTTTAGTCATCAATATTATCAATAATTAACTATAGTCACCAAAATTCTACAAAAAAATAATAAATATACATTTCTAAAAATATTTATATAAAATAAAAGAGATCTCCAATAATAATATATAGTCAAATATACCTATACATAATATAAAAAATGTCAATAATATATTTTTAGTTGAAATAGTTTATAGAAACTATATCGATAAATATTAAAAATAATATTTAAAAAGTTATCATGCAATTGTTAAACTTTATATTGTAGGGAATAAAGTGAAAAGTGAATACTTCATCTGTTCCTAAAAGATCCATATTCTAGTTTTTTCACACTTTTTAATAAAACATAATAAATTTGCATAGTTTTTTTGTATTTATCTTCTTTCCATAACTTTAAACCAATAAAAAATCAATTAGTGCAATTAAATTATTTTGAAGTTTACAATTAGTTAATAAAACATGCATTGAAAATATAAAAAATGATCTTTTAGAAACAATTTTTTTTTCTAGAATATGTATCTTTAAAGAATGGAGGAAATAGTATTTAAAAGGATCAACATTAACTCTTTATATTTGAAGTGTCACTATTCATTCCTTTAGAAAATAAAAGGATGGTTGGAACTTGGAATACAAAACCCGTTATAGTGTATACTTCTTATACTTCTTTCTCCTTATATTTCAGTTTTGTTTGCTAAAGAGTGAAGACATATATTACCCCCAGTGATTTTAATTAGACCATGTAAACTCCATAAGCTTTCAAACTAATTTAATACTCTTTCTATTTTAATTTGTTGCATATTTTAGTTTTTTTACACATATTAATAAAAGACATAATAAATATATAATTTTTTGTGATATTTTGAAACATGGGGAGTAGTTATCACATTCATAGTATCTAGACGTTCAACTCATGTCGGTTATAAAGTTTGGTTCACAAGGTATCTAAACCTTTTGCGATGACTTTGACTTTCCAACAATCTGAGGTGCTTTAATTCGGGTTTGAATTTTAAGGTCGTCCCCAAACTAAAAATATAGTCAAGCCTAAAATACGCAAGCAAATGTTTTTTTTTTTTTTTGATTAAAAGATCGTCGAATTAGTCAGTTCTGGATTATCAGTTTGGCGCTGACAAAATTAGTTTTTCTTGAACAGTGACAATTAGTATTCAATATATTTACAGTAATTAAATTTTGGTGTACTCATATATTCCTAATTACTTGACAATTCATAACAGTATCCATGCACAAATGTGTAAGTGAGTAACCAGAAAAAAAGAAGAACATAACCACCAAGTCAAATAAATTCCCCTAACTCTTCTTTTTCTTTCTAGAATACTAACCAACTGAATCTTAAAAAAAGCAGTTTGTCACTATTTTTAGCTGCCTTGTCTCACAAGCCACCATATAAGATACATTCCTTTGAAACAACAACAAAACAAATGATTCTTTATTTTCATCAAAACCATGGCGAGAGAAAACCCTTCAACCCTAATTCTTGGAGATTCTAGATCTAGGGCGAAGGAGAAGTGTTCCATAAGTTTAGCGAAGATCAAATCCAAACCTTCCGGTGGCTCAGCCCTTGAGCCAACCAAGAAACAAAGCCAAGAACAAAACTCACCAAGTTTACGCCGTTGGGGCTCGTCCTCCGGTAAACCAGGGAGGCAAAATTGCCTATGTTCTCCAACGACACACGCTGGTTCTTTCAGGTGCAGACACCACCGTGCTAATACCTTGACTCGTGTCGTGTCTATCGGGTCGAATCTCTCTGTTATATTGTCTTCCAAGTCGAGCCAGTTTAGTGACTCCCTCAAGGCTCAGTAAACCGCTTTAGCGGATGTGTTCGGTATATAATAAGAAGTGTCGGTTTTGTGATTATTTCTACTGACATTGATCAAAATTGTATACCAAAACCGATTGAGAAGAAAAGGTATATGAAATCGATTGTAATTGGCCTAAACCGATTCAAGGTAAATTTTATCTAATTTCTCGACGATTTAATTTATAATTTAGCATTGTTTAGCTGCACATCTTGTATGCTTTCATCAATTAAAAAATCCATTTTTACTATCAAGAGACTAAACTTGCAAAAGCTTATGATATTTAAGGGGCTGATTAAGCTTGTAAAAACATTGTGATATTTAATGGATGTTGCGAAAAAGTTACTTAACCCTTTCAGTAAAGCATTATCACCGTATCACGTTTATACACAGGTGACAATATTATCGTACCGTATCAAATTTACAAATTTGTAAGTTGTTTAAAAGTTCTTCTCCGATATATGTTCTTAACTGGTTTAGCTGGGTGAACTGTTGTGTAGCCGTTTCATGGTTGTAGGAAGTGGGTTGTACCCACCCCTTAGGGCCCATAGAGAATCATACTCGGCCCAATAAGGGACGAATTGTCAACATTGACACGTAATGGGTTAATGCCCGAGTGGTGTCCGTACGAGTGAGGAGCTCATCTTGCCGAGTCGAGAAAAGGCCCAACACCAAGGGCCCATTAATCGACACCAACTTAGGTCAAGATCGAGCGAGATGGTTAAACTATAAAAGGGCGAGGAGGGGAGTACGAAGAGGGGATCCGAAAATTAGACTCACTAGGTGGCAGCTCAGATTAGGGTTTCCTTACCTTGTTTACTTTGTTTTCACCGGCTAGTCCGTACGTTATCTCCGGTCAAGCTCTCCGAGCACCGGGGACTCTCTTTGTAATCACTTCCCGACCATAAATAAACCCCCTTTCTTTACTCATTACTACTCGTACCTTTGTAATAACCCACCGACGAGTCCAGTCACTCACCTCACTGATACACGACCGAACTCGGTTCAAACAATGGTCTTTGATAATAAAACGGTAAAACCATTACCGGAGCTAGGTTTCGTTAAAGGTTAAGATCAACGCGCAATCACGATGAACTATAGTTTTTTTACACTTACGATGACTATAGTTTTCATGGGGTTGTTGGAGATAGATAACATCCCTTGGACATGGTTCGTCAAGTGGTTGAACTCCACTTTAAACCAAAAATAGTCTAAATTTAAATCGACTTGAAGAAAAATAAAAGAGTCCATATATAAAGACATACCAAAGATTCATAAAGGGTATTCATAAACACACAATTCCATACAAGAGATAAAATTTACTATAATTTTTCTTCTCGTCAATTTGACATAATTCTCATAAAGTTTTATGTTTTACATTTTAAGACAATTTCTAAATTTCTATTACATTTAGGGACATTTTTAGCTACTAAAATATTTTATGTCAACTAAAGATTAAACAGAAAGTGGAGTTTTCAACTAATAGGATCCATCATGTTTTCTATCTTGGTCTTCTTCTTTTATAAGTATTTTATATATTTTTGTTTTAATATAAGAGGATCCACCATCTTCTCTTTCTTTATTTTCTTTATGTACAATTCATTTCATTTATTTATTTTTATCTGTCAAAAGATTAATTGTATAAAATTAATAGTTTCTCAACTTCTCTTAAATATAAACCATTTAACGACATCTAAGTTTAAAAGTTGTTTAATGACAAAGAAGATAGGCTGATGATGTTAGAGAGAAAGTGACTTTGTGAAAAAAAAATTGATGGTGAATTTATTAGGTAGCGAAAATGACTTATGACAAAGATTAAAAAGTTGAGCTGACAATTGGGTATGTATAGCGGCGAAACTAACCTCAGAGTCACTGTTGGGCCCAAATACGTCCCATTAGCTGAAATTAACAGGCTTAAATAACAAGGATTGATAATGGGTTATTATAAGCCCATTAGCAGTTAAGTTTTAAGAAAGGAGTTGAGAAGAAGCCGGAGGCTATTTAGCTCAGGAAAGAAAGGTTAATAAAACAGGTCACAGAAGAGAACTCCGGACCTCATTCACTGAGAGCTAGTAAGTAGCTCAGGATGGACGCGCAGGACCCGGTCAAGAGGAGACTGTTGAGAATTCCTCAACTCACGGAGCAAATCTCGGAGGTTAGCTGAGGTCGTTGAAACATGATCGCGAGCTATAAAAGAGGAGTGGGAGATCGAAGCAAGGGGTCCAGATTTTGATTCATTATTATTCACACGTTCATATACTCTAAAAAACATTCATTTATTTCTTTGTAACCTCAGATCGAAACATTTGTAATCTTCTTTTATCAGAAACATCAATACAAGTCATATTCATTCTTTAAGTTCTTACAGGATTCAGCCCACGATTATCTTTTCTCCAATTTAAACCTAACCTAAATTAGGAAAGTGAGTTTTATCCCTCACATTTTGGCGCCGTCTGAGGGGAGGAGATAATTGAATCCTTCACTCCGTAACTTGAGAATGGATCCATCCAACCAGGCAACGAGCCCATCTATCCCTGATCCCGTGATCCAGATCGACGACTCACCAAGCAGGAGAGACCCGAATCCTCAGAATCCGGAACCTCGATCCGCCGATCACAGATCCGAGCAACTGCCTCCGCTAATGCTCAACCGAACCAAACTGGAATAACTAACCCAAGATCTTCCAGTGGAAACAACTCGGGGGTTACACACCCCAAAAATCCTCAGCGTCAACCCGCTCCGAATCATTTGGAAGCTCAGCTATCCGAGATGCGTCGAATGATGGTGCAATTGGTAGAAAGAGCTCAGGATAATGAGCGCACGTTGCAACAACTATCTGCTCGACAGCAACGCTTCAAAGAGGTGACTAGATCTCTAACCGAGACGACTCATCTGTGGCAACGTCAAGGATCGGGAGTCACCTTCCGAGACCGACTGACCGAACCCACGTTCCCTCGCGGACGTCTGGACTTTCCCCCAACAGCACTGCTCAAGATGGGCAAGAGTCTGTTCTCCGGACACCTCATGCTGGAACAACCCCAGCATTCAGTCCACCGTAACCAGTGCTATGGGAAGTAACATAGCAACAACAAGCTCTGCACCCAACAGGGTTCCCGAACAAAGCACACGTTTACCTCCTCTGCCACCTGTTTTTAGGTCCGTAGAAGGAATATCTTTTCCTCCTAGGGGAAGAGCATCAGCTTCTGCTTATCAGACTGGGAGCGCGATCCCAAACTGAGACAACCGCCAGAGGACGGAAGCTGATCCTACAGCTCACCTCCCTGGCCACGTCCCTCAAAACGGCCCTAGAGCTAGTGAGCGATTTAGCCCACCTAATGCTTGGGAGAACGACCACACTCGACTTCGTCAAGAATCTCCCCATCAGATTCATGACGACCCAACCGTCCTTCCCCTAGAGGGACCTGAGGCTATCTGCCGATACATGGAGCAAACTCACGCAGCTCTCCAAAAGTTGAATGCTCAAGTCCACAAAGCAACAAGCTCAGCTCCCGAAATCGAGAGCTTGATTGAGGAAACCCGTGGAACCCCATTCACAAACAAAATCGCTAGCTCTTACATAAGAGATACCCGAAAGATTAGGATCCCCGATATGATGGGACCTCAGACCCTAAGGCTCATTTGAGAGCCTTCCGATTAGCTATAGTGAAAGCTCACTTCACAAGGGAAGAATGTGAAGCAGGTTATTGCAGAACCTTTGCCAAGAACCTGGTCGGAACAGCTCTCGAATGGTTTTCGAGCCTCGAGCCGAACTCAATAGATAACTTCGACCAGCTCACCAACGCCTTCATGAAGCAGTACTCGACCCATATCCTCAAGCAAGCTTCCGAGGCCGACCTCTAGAAAATCAGGCAAGGAATGGGAGATTCGTTACGAATCTATATCGAGAAATTCAGAGCAGTCAGAACCAAGCTCTCGAATCCCAACGATCAAGTTGCCATAGAAGCCCTTAGAAGAGGTCTCTGGTACAAATCAGAATTCTGGTCCGAGCTAACGCTTAATCCTCCCCCAACTATCGATGATGCCCTTCATAAAGCATCAAGATATATTACCTTGGAAGAGGAAACAGCTGCGCTGGATAAAATCCATAAGAAATCCCAGAATCACCCGAAAGGTGAAACCTCGGAAGCAAAAGGATCTTCTAGAAAAGGGAGCTCCCGGAATAATCAGACCCATGGAGAACATTCCTATGTTGTCGAGGAAGTCCAACAGGAGAAACCTGTTGCCGCGACAAGCAAAACCCCCTGGTCAAAAGGCTACGATGAGAACAAACACTGCTCTTATCACGATCGAAAAGGGCACTCAACTGAGGAATGTTGGGACCTCCAACGACAGTTGGCAGCTAAATTCGTAGCTGGGGAACTAAAGGACGTGGAACTAAAAAAACCACCTCCTTACCAGAATAGAGGTCCCAGAGATACCTCTCCGAAACGTGAAAGATCACTTGAGAAGGAAACAGACTCGCCACCGCCAGCTCCCAAGAAAAGAGTTGACATGATTCTTGGGAAATTTCCCCAAGGGAAAAGTCTACAAATCGAGACCCTCCGAAGCAATCCACCACCTCAATCGAGCCCCAGTTCGAGGGTGGATTATATCCTCGGAGGCTCCGATATATGTCAAGACTCCATTAATTCAATCAAGAGTCACGTACGGAAGGCTGTTTCCAAGTCTCCTAACCCCAAATCCAACACTAAGATTTCTTTCGGGGAGAGCGAGACATCAGATCTCGACAGACCTCACGATGATGCCTTAATCGTCACCCTGAACATAGCAGGTTACGAGGTGCCTAAGCTGATGGTTGACACCGGAAGCTCGGTCGACCTTATCTTCTATAACGCCCTGAAAGAGATGGAAATAGATGACTACGAAATTATTGGTCAGAAAGCTAACCTTGCAGGCTTCTCCGGGGAAACAGTTACCTCCTTGGGAACCATCAAGCTCCCGGTCATAGCTGGAGGAATCATGAAAATGACCAATTTTTTAGTCATCGATAGACCCTCTCCATTTCACGCGATCCTAGGAAGACCCTGGATTCATAAGATGAAGGCAGTAGCCTCCACTTATCTCCAATGCGTGAAATTTCCAACACTTGACGGTATAACCACCGTACGAGG